TTTCTGGAAGTGGGAAAGAGGATGTTTTTTTTTTTTACTAACCAAAAAGCAGTTGGGTGAAACAGGGCCTGGCTGGGGTGAGGGTGAGCTGGGTGGTGGGACTGTGATCTCCAGCCCCAGCAGATGATGCTGCTGGAGATATAAGACTTGTATTTCTCTCTGGCTCCTCACTTGGGATTGATGAAAGTTGGCCTGAATCAGGGATTTGGAGAGAGGTTAACAAATGGTCTTTTACTCTTGTCTGACAAAGCCGTTCCCATGGAATGATGGAGAATAATGAGCCTTGGGAGAGCTGTGGCAGCTTTCATACTCCTTCCTGGGCCAGGTTTTCCAAGGAGTGAGAAAAACATGGCCTGTCCAATATTTATTGCAGGTCAGGAAAGTTTTGGAGTTACAGTTGTTGATTTGCATGGACGCGTTATTATTATGCTTTATTATTTCTTGGCACACTTTACCCTAAGGACTCTTCAATCTCTTAACTTCAGTGGGTCTTCTCTGTAAACACATTTTATTGACTTTAAGAGTGGAGTTTATTTTAGGAGATAGTTAGCATACGTTAATATATACCTAAAATAGAGTCAAATTTAATCTACCAGTTGTTATGAAGGACAGAATGACAAACTAAAGTCCACACAGAAGCACCGTCTTTTATTTTTATTTATTTATTATTATTATTTTTTTTGCGGTATGCGGGCCTCTCACTGATGTGGCCTCTCCCGCTGCAGGGCACAGGCTCCAGACGCTAAGGCTCAGCGGCCATGGCTCACGGGCCCAGCCGCTCCGCGGCATGTGTGATCTTCCCGGACCGGGGCACGAACCCGTGTCCCCTGCATCGGCAGGCAGACCCTCAACCACTGCGCCACCAGGGAAGCCTGCACCGTCTTTTAAATAATCTGAAAGTATTAATTCTAAGATGGACGGGCATGGCGGAAAGGGATGGTTGACTCTTGTAAAGATTTCAAACAGCCTGTTTTCACCCATCTTTTCCTCATTTTGTTCAGCTTCGTGGGAGCTTTTGCTAAAGCAAAGTGAATAATCAGAAGGCTGACTTCAGGAGAGAGGCGGTTTAAAAGGGACCACAGTAAGCAAAATTGGTCTTGCATGATTGCAAATTGATGGGGATGCACTTGCCTCCTGACTTGGCCTGCTGATTATACTCAGGAATGGGGAACTTCAATTCCAAATGCTTTGGCCTTTTTTTGATTTCCCATTGAATATTCATAGTAAAAAGAAAAAAAGAAAATAGTAGAAGATAGAATTTATTCTCTTTGAACTGACTTGAATATGACCAGGTGGGCTGCATTCTCTCTGAAAAACCTTGGTTTTGATTGAAAAGGTTAATTTTACAAAGCAGTTTTTCTATAAAAAATGGTAGTTGCTCTTCGCTTATGAAATTGCTAGAGGAAAACAGAAGTTTGGAATTTCTAAAACAATAAACTACACTATTAATATTTTAATATCTCATAAAGTTTGAAATAGATTCCTACACAAATACCTGTACAATTGGAGATTTTAAAAAACTTTCTCATGAAGTTATGAAACTTTCAAGCTTTCAGGAAAGTGGAGAGAATAGATTAACGACATCCATATGCCCTTGTCCTAGATTGTTGACATTTTTCTATGTTTGATTCATCTTTTCGAGGGGCTAAAGTATATTAAAATATATTAAAGAACATGACATTTTACCCTAAGTTCTTCAGTATGGATTTCTAAAAAAGAAGAACATTTTCCTTGATAGTAACAGTATCATTAACATCCCAAACAAAATAAAAAATTATTTCTTTACATTATTTATGACCCAGTCCACATTCAGATTTCTTCAATTATTCTGAAATGTCTTTTATACCTAATTTGTTTAGGCTTATTTCTTCTAATCAAGGAACACACATTACATTTGTCTTAAGTCTCTTTTAACCTAGAAAGTACCTCCCTTTTTATTTGTATTTTGTTAACGAAATTGACTTGTTGCCGAGACTAGGTCGGTTGGTTTTTCTGTAGAATGTCTCCTCCACCTCCTTTCCGGAATTTTCTGATCACTTCTTTATGGTGTCATTTAACTTTTCACTCTATTCCCTGTGTGTGTGTGTGAACTAGAAATCAGTCTAAAGGCTTAATTAGAGTCAGGTTCGGTATTTTTTTATAAGATTATTTCATAGGTGATGGTGTGTATTCAGTTGCCTAATACAAGGAAACATAATCTCTGGTTGATCCATCATCCGTGATGCTGAGATAATTATAGAGCTATGGTGGTATGGTCCATTATTTTCCCCTTTGGGACTAGCAGTAGGCTGTGGGGTGAACTTTGTACCATGTGAATATTCAGTTCCTTATCAATTTTTACCCAGTTGTTGTAGCATCCATTAATGATACTGGCTTGAGTTGATAATTTTATTAGGGGTTTCAAAATGATGATTTTCAAATTCTCTAATTCCATCTACATGTTTTAGCTGGCATTTTTCTATAAACTGGGTATTTTCCTCACTACTAGGCTATTTGATTATTCTGTAATATAGTTCCTTCTGGAAAGACAGAGTTTGTGTTTATTTTTCTCTCTTTTTTAATTACCAATTTTCAGAGTAAGAATTTGGTGAAATAGCCACCTCCATTGAGGACACATGAATTTTGTCTTGTTTTGCTTTCACTTTTTCGAATATCACTATGGACTCCCGGATTTTTATATAATCAATTTGAATAGATTATTGAAGAATGAAAAGAAACTACCTTTTTTTTTTAGTAGTTTTTATGGGGCTATGTGAATTTACCTAAAAATACCCAGAAGTATTTTAATCCCCTTTTGAAGTTACAAACTATGTCATGCTATATAGAGCAACAAACAAACAAACAACAAAAAACTAAGTATATGAAGTAAATAGTGTCACTTAAATGAATTGAGATCAGACTTAGTTTGAAACTAATTGATTTTTTTATCCTATTTCTATTTCCACCTGCTTTAGATCCTCCTCAGGGGTTTAGATCCTCTGTGTATCAATTTATTCTAATGTCTTAAAGAACTGAAAAGCCAAATGCATCATAATGGCTACAGGAATGTCTTTGCCCTTCTCTGGGTAGATCCATTTGCAGCTAAGGGCATCTGTTTTTCTTCCTCCTCTTTGTAAAAATCTTCTTTTTTAGTCCTGAACTACTCTTTAATATTGGACAGGTGACAGAACTGTATCTGCCTGAAGATGTTTCTGACTTTTTCTAAAGTCTTCTTTTTCTGAGATGACATTGTATATCGGCACTGTCTAACAGAACTTATTGTGATGATGGGAATGTTCTGTAATCTCTACTGTCCTAGCCAACTAGGACACATGACTGTTGAATACTTGAAATGTAGCTGATGCTGCTGAAGAACTGAATTTTACATTTTATTTAATTTTAATTAATTAAGATTGAAACTTAGATAGCCACAAGTGCTTAGTAGGTACCATACTGGACAGCACAGTTCTATAATTTAACATTTAAAATGTGTGTGTGTGTGTGTGTGTGTGTGTGTGGTTTAATGAAGCCAGACTGTTACAATCAAAAGCAGCTATCGGTTAAATAAAGGGAGGTCGACAAATACTACAAATACATAATTGGCAAACCCAAACCAGATTTCTTCATACAATAACCACACTCTCTTTTGACTT